TTTAAAAATTACCATATTGTAATTGGAAGGATACGCGCCACCAAGGAGGGGCCACAAAAAAAAATTCCTTTGTGCTTCAGTGCATGCGCAAGATACTTTTCCTGCGGCTGGAAAAGGGCGGACTTGTGTTTGGGTTACTGCATAGTTTAAAGCGATATATCAGCTAAGGTTTGATCTGTAACAACTCCATCAAACAGGTATTGTGATCTTTTTGCTACTTTGTACTCGAGCTAAGACTACGCCATGGCTGTCATGTTGCGAAAAGCACAAACGGATATACGTGAATACGTGACTGGATGAGTCGCTTCATGAAGGCGTTGTTCATTACATACGGAACATACGAGTGATCGTTCGTTCGAGAACATTTACATTTACGCGCTTAAGTTCAGGTATTACCTCGATTGTGCACTTTTCGTTACAGGATGCCTTACAAACAGTGGTACGAAGATCTTGAGCAGATCAAGCGTCGGTGCAGGCAGAGCGGCACTCTTTTTGAGGATCCAGAGTTTCCTGCGATCGACAGCAAAGTCTTCAAGAAGCGAGTGTTACCTGGTGGTCAGTCGTTCGAATGGCTTCGACCTCAGGTACGATGAAAAACATTGTTCTACTTCTTATCACAGTATCTATGGTTTTATTTGGTTCTGGAGAGTGTTAAAACTCTTGTTTGTCACAACAAGTTTATTTTTATCGGGGAAGCTTTACTATATTGTAGTGAAGGGCTCGTATGACTTCTTCAATACCAATGATATTTACAGCGTGACTCGCGGTGCTTTTGCTCTTAACGTTCTTTTAAAATCTCGTCTTCAAATTCTGCTGGGTATTCAGCTAGCTCAAGGTTTCCCATAGCTTTTCTCTCTGTAACTCAGGAAACATTTATATTAAATATATTCGCACGCCATTCATTTCATAAAAGTTAAATGTATGTAAAGAATAATAATTTTCTGTGGTCGGCGGAGCTCTTTTGAATTTTGGTGACAATTATTTCGCATACTTAAAATGGCGTCATTTGGATCCCAAGAGAGAAAAGTCGGCATCGACCTGCAACGAAAAAAAAATATTTCAGACGAAATATAACATTCCAGTTGAATTGATCAGCTATTTAAGCAAAGCATGTTAAGTGAACTTCTGTAGAGAATGCTCTGGAACACTTAGCTTGTGATAGCAATATTCACAGTTAATTTTTCATCAGAGAATTTACATGAAGAAGGCAATTCTCGTACTCCATCTACTGAGGGATTCTTTTGGCAACCTCACTTTTTGTGAGGCTCATTAACACTCGTGGAGCAACATGTGTTTTTAAATGCCAATCTCTCGGAGTTTGAATCATTGCCACCTATTGTTCCCATTACGATTCTCTTCCCTAGAGCAAGGGAAAATGCTAATTACCACGAGTAAAATTCCATCAACGTGCGATTTGCATGTTTTGTTTGTAACTTGAATTGACAATTTATCATCATAAAAATCCTTTGTGTGTTTCTGAAAAAAAAAACTTCTTTGTGCATTCTTTGTTGTTCAGTTGTTAGATAGTGCATCATCCGATTACTTGCTCGAAGAAGACTTCGTATCGATTTCATTTGGCGCCTTTAGTTTTTAGATCCAAATAGTACAATCTGTCACGCAACAAGAGAAGGGAAATCTTCTAGATACTTAGGTTTTGGAACATCTGAAATGTGATTTTTTGAATAATAGAAGGAATTAAAAGATCAGTCTTGAAAATTTAACCTTCAAAAGCCTTGTCAACCTCATTTGTTTTCAATCAAAAGTAAGTCACAATGGTCAACCCTTTACACCCTAACATCAGTATGCATATTCTCTACACTGTGTTCTCTATACATTTCCTGAAGTGCTAAGAAGGAGAGTTTGTTTAACAATCAAGAGCTGCTTTAGTTGGTGATCATTTTCATTATTCATGTGACCTTTATGTATGATGCAGTGGGGGACTTTGTAAGGAGAAATTAGATGTTGGTCACTCCTTGGAGTTGAAAGGTTTATTGGACTTTCACCTGAACCATATGGCTCTCAATTAAACATATTAGTACTAATATGAGCCACTGAAACCTTTCTATGCAGACACTGGGTGGCAATAATAGCCTATTCTCGTGAATAGGCACTTGATTAAAGTATGCAAAAATTGGCTCTGCCCAACTCAATTTGTTAAATATTCAACAAATGAAAATATCACAACCCTGACATATCTGGAATAAGCTTAATGGAATTTATATTTGGTAGTGGTTGTATTATGGCTTCAGTGAGTGCATTTTCTTCAAATTTACGAACTTTTAATTTTCTTTTCAAAGGAACTGTTGGACGCCCAGCAATCAAGCGAAAAGGCAGAATTTGTGGTGGGTGGAGCATCCCGTCTCGATATCAATCAGGGCATGCTGGGAGATTGTTGGTTGCTAGCAGCCATTGCATCCCTAACACAAGAGGAGGGATTGATGAACAAGGTCATTCGATTGGACAAATATGACAAGTTTGGCAGCCCTGGTTACTGTGGTGCTTTTCAGTTCAACATTTGGCAAGATGGGCATTGGGAGGAAGTTATCATCGATGATCGCCTTCCAACATACAGGAAGAAACTGGTGTTCATGCACTCCAAGGAGAAAAATGAGTTTTGGTGTGCCTTGTTGGAGAAAGCATATGCCAAGTAGGTGTTCTTCTCTGCATAAGTAAAAATAAAAATCCTGGTCAACTCAATTCACATTTTGACGCTAAGAGTGACTAGCATTCAGTTTCTCCTTACAGTGTCCCTCCTTAATCACACATTGAGGTCATGAGAATGAAAAAAATGATCACAAACTAAAGAAGCTTTTGATTGTTAAACAAATTCTCCTTATCAGTACCTTAGGAAATGTATAGATTACAGTAAGGAGAAAATTCACTCAGATGTGACTTTGTATAGGATAAGGTATTCCTGGAGGCTTAATGGACCTTTTCATGATGCTTTCATTTTCTCACATATTTAAAATTTGTTGTTAAATAAGCCAGCTTAAAGAGTTTGGAAAATGTCCCATTCCCGAAGTAAAGTAACTTTATAAGCTTCACCAGTCTATCTAACAAATTTGACAGATTTCCTGTAACTGAGGAAGTACTTAGTTATCAATTTATATGTTGAGTATGTTGAGTCTCTGACAGAATTTTCAGTAATGTCTTTTGACATATTTCCTTAGGTTACAAGGTTCGTATGAAGCCCTCAAGGGAGGTCAAACAATTGAAGCTATGGAAGACTTCACTGGTGGACTGGGAGAAGACTTTGATTTTAAGAAGATGAAGACTGAAAGTGAGAGGGAGGACTTGTGGAGAGTCATCGAAAAGGGCTTAAAACGGGGTGATCTCATGGGCTGCTCCATCACTGTAAGTATAGTCATTTAAGTAATTGTGTTTGATGAAGGAAGAACGCCTCCTAATCTCCTGGGCTACCTGTGATCGCGTAGGTGTCCTGTGCACGCAAGCGAAAGCTGAACCATGTTTTTTCGTTCGATCGGCTGGCCGTTCATCTTTTCAGCTCCATTTTGAATGACATCACAATTTCGTTGCACAACCAAAAAACAATATTTCCTCTTTGATAAGCCGAACGCACTTCCCTAATCTCCGATTACTACTAGTTGTTAAAAAAACCTAATTTTTTTATTTAAAAAAACTTAGATTTGATAAGTGTTATTCTTTTCAGAGAACATCATGGCATGTTTGGAGGAAGAGTGTGTCATCACTGACTTAAAACTAGAATCCTTTCTTTTGTCTTTCTTGAATATTTCAGTTATGGATTGTGCTTTAGCAATCTCATCACCATCAAGTCTGTCTCTTTTTGAGAGGATATCAAGCCTTTAGTTCGAAAAGATGTTCTCTTTAAGAGGCTTAACACTTTATTATTGCTCAAGCCCCTAAAAGCCTGTGTGAAGAAACACACCTGTTGAGATCAAACAAGTGATTGCACCCGACAGGGGAGGGATGGGAAAGATTGCAAACAAAGAGAAAAATTCTTGTGTGTAAACAGAGTAAAAGAGAAATAGAAGCAAATTTTCATAAGCAAAGGACAATGAACAAATTCTGAGTACCCATGTCCCCAAAGGTCTGTGGTTGGGTTTTTCACAGCCACTCTGGAATTTTTCCTGTCCTGTGCCAGTGACAGGCGAAAAAAGTCCCTCTCAAGGAAAAACGTTGTGACACTATTCCCCATGTGATGTCCTTCCAGCAGTATATAATGCCTCTTACTATGTGCTTTACTATGAAAGCACCTAAATTAAAATCATGCATGCCAGTGAGACCCATTTCTCATTTTATTGCTATCATTTCGATGTATAAATTACTGATTCAATTGCAAGGTGGCTTGTTGGTGTAAACATTGAGCATTCTTTAACGTGTCAGACCAACAGTATGTTAAAAGTTATTTTTAAAAATTTTTTTTTTACTTAATAGGCTGCACCCAATCAGATAGAAGCTAAAGGTGACTTGGGATTGGTCAAAGGTCATGCATATTCTGTGACTGGAGCGACCACTGTAAGTCATCTTCAACAACAATCTTGTGACATGTTATTCTTGTACAACTGTATACTTAAATGTATCACCAAAGCTAGCTTGTTGCCAAGGGAATTAAATTACTTTGTGACCATTAAATTATTTATTATTTATTTATTATGATGATAGAATTGGAAACACTCAAAGCTGCCTGGTTTTACTTCTTATAATGTCATTAATGAAAATGATTCCTTTTCTGTTCTGTACAGGTTAATTATCGTGGTCGAGGAACAAAGTTGGTCCGTGTGAGGAATCCCTGGGGTAATGAGAGAGAATGGGAAGGACCTTGGGGTGATAAGTAAGTGCTCCTGTTTTGCAAATTTCTGTGCATGTCTCGTAGTGCTGCCAAAATCTCAGAGATAGAATAACAAAGTAGTAACATAGACCAGTGAGATGTGACTTAAGAGCCTCAAACAGCAATAGTTTGGGATTTAGAAGGGAGATTCTAGAGGAAAGAAGCCGTGTTTTTTTTCCCATGTGGTGGGATTGGCTTTCATGGGTAAATTGATTGAGGGTGAAGTGAGTGAAGAGCTTCACAGTAAGGACGCTGATTTACTCTGGAAAGTTAGACTTTTTAATTATTTAGCCTAAGAGTCTGTTGCTTTTGTCAGTCTTTCAACAAAACAGTGTAACCTGGTATTGTTCCTAAAGAATCCCTGGGGGGGGGTATTGAGATGGTGGAAATAGGGGGAGCTTCAATTGGGAAGTAACTTATTAAATCAGTTGGTTGGGATGTAACCTGTGATCAGGAGCTAATTTTTCAGGTTAGGGGAGTAGTGTTGTCATGCAAGAGTCAGCAGGCTTGCACTGTTACACTGTCTTGCTCCTCTACATAAAGAATTTGTAATTGTGTAGTTGGTTCGTTATAATACCAACAGTGAAGTGTATAGTGTAGAAATAGGGAATAAGGAATTTTTGAGGAAACAAGATAGAGGGATCGTATTTGTGTCAGAGAACTCTAAGAGAAACGTGATCATACAGGTACATTTACATGTGAATCAGGTTTGAGTGAACAGAGGAGTTTGTTTTTTATGGGAATTTAGCATTACCTTGCATTTTTTAATGCAGAATCTTTGATTGGGAGTGGAGAAAGGTAAATGGATAATTTACTTCTTGTGGATGCCAATACCTTATTTTAAGGTGAGAGTGATTGGTATATAATTGTTTATTTCTGTCCTATAGATCCAGCGAGTGGAGAGGGCTGTCTGAATCAGATAAAAGGGATATGAAGCTGAGTTTTGCAGATGATGGTGAATTTTGGTAAGTTATTGATGCTTGAAACTCCTTTTTATCTCCTCATGTAGAATTTTCAGTGGATTGCTTAATTATGAATCCAAGAGCTTTAATCCTTGAATTCTCAGAGGTGATCAACATGTAACTTCTCCCATCAATATCTGAACATTATACAGCAAACAGATAATGAGAATACTCAAAATCATCAGGTAGAGGCTACCTGTATCTTGATCTAACACCAAATTCTCATAACTAATTTACAAGGAAAGCTGTAGGATCTGGATGGATGGATGGCTGGCTGGATGTGGGAGGGATATGGTTGAGCTGGGATTGGGTGCATTGCTCAACAAAAAAAAGTTTTCCAAGATTGGTGAGCTGAAAAAGCAAAGAGACCATTTGAAGGAACAATTCTTTCACCAGAAAAAAATGAATAAAAAACACTCTCCATGAAGCTCTCTAGGACCATTAAAAAGTAATTAATGATAATAAAAGAAAAACAAGCAAATTTAATTTTATTAATGCTTGAGTCAGAAGTGTCTAGAAAAATTAGGAATGAATGGAGACAGATAAGTTGGTCATTCTCAGCTTTTAACACTGAGAACGTGTGAAACAACAATATCACAACTCCAGCACTCAAATTACTTTTTTGTGGTGCATGTATATTTTTGCATCAATGGGTGAAATAACCTGTGATGGACAAGCATCTATCACTTCTTACTACAGAAACAGGGATAAGTTCTGCTGGATGGGGCTCTTGTTTCAAACCTAACCTCGTATTTGTTTTGTCACTCTCTCTCTTCTATGCAGGATGTCTTTTGATGATTTCACCACATATTTTCACAAACTGGAAATTTGCCACTTGGGCCCAGACAGTGCTAAAGGGGGTGGGGAACATGGTTGGGAAGGAAGGGTAGAAAAAGGTGCTTGGATTCGAGGTTCCTCTGCCGGTGGTTGTCGCAACTTTCTGAATACATTTGCCCAGAATCCTCAGTTCAGGTAAAGATTTTTTTTTTCAAAGACATACATGTTCAGAATATTCTGAATTCACTCATTGTTTTTGTTATTTTCAGATGTAGTTTTACATTTGATGCGAAAACGTTTTAAGGATCCTGGTCAACCAAACACTTATTTTTGGTTAAATTACAGGAAAATGATAAAAAAATCAATAATGATAAATGATGAATTGAAATAAAGCACTCATTATGTAGAGGGGTTTGTTACTTTACTGGCAAGAGTGATGAGCATCTAATTTCCCCTAACAGTATAACCATGAATCAAATATTAACATCAGGACAATAAAAGAAATGATACATTACTCCTGAAGCTCTTGATTTTTAGACAAATTCTCCTTGTAAGTATTCTGGGAATTGTGTTGAGAAAAAACATGGAGAACTTGAATACTGATGTAAAGGGTTAAATCCCCAGATTAAAATCTCAAGAGGTGATATCCTCAAGGTAGTTTTCAGTCATTCTTTATAATCCTATATAGGTTCTGGATCAATTTCAGTATCTGACCAACTGCACACCTACCCCTCCCCTAACCTCGCAACAGTCAACTGATGACAGGTCAGGCTTAATTTTGGTTTAGGGGAGGGGTAGGGGTAGGTAAGCAGTTGCTCATATAATGATATTGATCCTCCTTTCCACTCTAATCAAGGGTTGATCTGGAAGATACTGATGATGATGCAGATGATAAATGCTCCTTGACAGTGGCACTTATGCAGACCAAGCGTCGCAAATTGAAGGCAGAGGAAGGAAAGCCCATGTTGACAATTGGCTTCTCCATTTACAAGGTGAGTGTGTTGAAATTAGTCAACTAAATAAATGAAATATAGACTCTATCAATTAACTTTTGACCATGTAGTGATGGACGAGCCACTGTGAATACATACATGTAAATATCATATTTTGTTGTTTTCATTGTATCAGGTCACAGATGAGGATTTGAAAGGTGGAAGAGCTGATCGAAACTTCTTTGCTTACCATGCCTCCACGGCCCGGTCTCCAGTATTTATCAACAGCCGTGAAGTGACTGGACGGTATACACTTGATCCTGGCTCTTATCTTATTATTCCAACCACGTTTGAGCCCAACCACACTGGTGAATTTATTGTACGAATCTACTCTGAAAAACCTGTCAAGACAGGGTATGTCGCTCTTTGCTTTGTGCTCACTAATGCGCTCTTTGCTTTCTTATTGTAACGTGTGGAATTCTTAGGTCAATTGTTTAGAGAAATTTTCAATGGAATGCGGAAAGTAACTGTAGATTACATTGGGTTTTTTTTATTCCTGTGCTTTGTGATCAGTTATGCCATCTCTATGCAACCAATCAAATTCAAAACCAAAAAAACCAATCACAACTTCATCACCCTTGTTTTCTAAGCTTTGGTCAGTCTGTGTACTTTCACGTTTTAACCTTTAATTCCCAAGATCTTAATAGTAATTCTCCTTACTGTCTGCTAAATAATTCTCATCATGTTAGTTTGGATAATTTGGTATCACATCAATTAGAAATCCCATAATTGTTTTTCTTAATCACCATCACTTGTGTGCATGATATTGTATAGATATAGTAAGGAGAAATTCTGTCTTGGTCATTCATGGGAGTTAAAGGATTAATCCTCATTGGCTAGTTGTGATATTTTCCTTTCTTCCGACTAGCCATTCTGATTACTTTGATTTTAGTTTTACTCAGTTAAAATGAGCTCTAGTGACACAGAGTTACAGCAATGTAATGAAAATTGGTAGTGGTGATGGAAAATGCCTCTTCTTTAGTGCTCTCCCTTTTGAAGTCATATTTTTTTTAGCTTAAGTACAATCTTCTTCTTTTGATAAAGCTGTGTGCAAATTTTTATTCACTTTGAATAAACCCTCTGAGTGACTAGCATCTAATTTCTCCTCACAAAATCACCACTGAACCCCACATCATGTCATGGGAATAAAGGAAATGATGGCCAACCAAAGAAACTCCTGATTGTTAAACAAATTCTCTGCATCAGTACCTTCGGAAATGATTTTAGAACAGTGTAGAGAATATGCACACTGATTTTAGGGTATAAAGGGTTAAGATTAGAAACACCAAGGCTTAAAATGTAAAAGCTTATCACATAACCTTTAAGCACAGGTCGTCAAATTAACGATCAGGTCTTCCCAGGAAATGAAGTCGTCACTTTTTCATCTTCTTCCGTTTAACCCTTTAAGTCCCAGAGCTGATTCACCAGAAACTTCTTCCTATATTATCCATACATTATCTAGCAAACAGGCAATGAGAATACTCAAACTTATCAGGTAGAAGTTGTTATCTTGATCTAACACCAAGTTCTTGTAACTGCTTTATAACGAAATGTGTAGCAACTAGAGGGGATAATTAACTATCAGATCTTGAGAGCTTAAGGATTAAAACAGTTAGGGTATAGAACACCTTGTTAGACTTGACCATAGTGGGTTCATTTTTTGTCTTATTTCAGGAAAGTTGATGTGAGGACATCCATTCAGTCCAGGGATGAACGCAAAGCTAAAGTAAGTGCCTTATGTTTGCTTAAGTTTTCAATGCTTTCATCATCAAAGCATCCTTTCACGATATAAAATACTTTGAGTGATTTTTATGTGCTTGATACAAACCTTGATGTAATGTATAGAGGCCAGGTTAGTGTTAGTTTTTAGTTAAGTGTGCCCCAGTACCAAGAAACGGTTAACATCGACATTCGCCAACGAGAAAACGAACTCAAAGCACAGAAACTGCCAAAAGCGCGGGAAAACTCAAAATAAACACCAATGAAATACTTAATCATTTCACTGAAATATATATATATATATATATATATATATATATATATATATTTATATTTTTAAAAGTAGAACAACGTATCACTAAAGTAGATCGTGTCACCACCAAAACCTGGAAGAAGTGCACGGCCTGCAAAGCGTAAACGAAATACGTTTCTCTTACGGTTCTCGTACTATATCGTAAAGGGTTTTTAATATTAAAATAATGGCCTTTAGAATTTTTGACTTCGGTAAAAAGGAGTCGCATAAAAAGGTGCGATTTTTATTTGAAATCAAAGCAACAAAGATCTTTCACGAATGAAGATAACATGTGAAGATCACATGTTATCTTAACGTGTGAAGATATCATGTTTTCGTGGGAAAGCTCACTTGATATTTTATTGATATTAGTTTAACAATTTGTTTTTTGCTGTAGCTGCACTTGTTAAGTTCACTGATTGCACTTTGATTTTTTTCTTTCACTCGGCAAATATTCCTGAAAAAGGTGTAAAATACGTATCAGAAAATACTGTGAGTACTAGGGTACAGTTTGATCTTTTCAGCAAAAAGTTATTCAACTTTAATCATTGTAGATAATGAGGTGTACATTAACACACCCGAGAAAACAAGAAATGAAGTAATTACATTGCGAAAATTTACCTATCAGAGATAGGTTCACTGCATTGATGAAATTATCAAGGAAAATCAGTTTTTTTTACCTTAGTTAGGAATATACTAAAAGTTATTTTTACACTAGTCACTTTTTGTCAGAATCTCGCCGTTTTTCTTATCATCATTATTATTATTATTGTTTTCCTTACAGTATAGATCAAGCCAATCTAGTGAGGACAGCGACGCAGCGGATGCTTCATTTAGGCAGCTGTTCAAGAAGCTTGCTGGAGTTGTATGTTGATCAATTTTAAATTCTCTTTAAATTTCCAACTTACTGTAAAACACAGAGGTGGTGAGAATTAAGAAAATTGTCAACTAATGATTTTTTTCTCAGATTTAACACCAAATTCTTATGCCAAGCCTATAGAAGAATGTATTTTGATCATCTGAGAGAATTCACTCTCTAATCTTGGGAGTGAACTCGGATGTTCCAGCTAGAGTAAAAAAGTAATCGCCTGAAAAACGTTTATTTTGTGTGTTTGTGTGTATTACTTTAGGACTTAGAGATTGACGCGTTTGAGCTGCAACAGATTCTTTCAACAGCAACAAAGAAGGGTAAGTAAAGTAGCTCTTGATTTTTAAACAAATTCTCATTGCCATTACTATAGAAGATGTATAGAGAACAGTATGGAGAAGATGCATTTTTATTTAAGTCTGAGAAGGGTTGAGGCTCAACAAAGATATTTGTTTTACTCTTTTTATCCAGTTCTGGGTGGCAAGGAATTTAGCGTAGAAGCATGCAGGTATGATCAAAAGTGTTAAATAATAGTTTTTTTTCTTGAGGGAGCTTGGATGGTGCAGTGGTGAGGGTGATCGCTTCCCACCACTGTGACCCAGGTTCGATTCCTGGACCTGACATAACATGTGGGTTGAGTTTGTTGCTTTGTTCGTCGTCCTTGGTCCGAGGAAGGGTTTTTTCTCTACGGGTCCCTCGGTTTTCCTCCCTTCATAAAAACTAACATCTCAAATTCCAATTCAACCCGGAAACAGTGAACAAGAAGAGCCGCCTGGAATGTCCAATGCTAAATTTGTTTATTTTATTCCCATTTTGAATAAGCGCTGCTGGCCTGTATCTCTATCTCTTGCTCGAATTTCGAAAGCAAAACACTGAGCTGGAAGTGTATGTAGCCATTAGATTGAATGGAAACATTCGTAATGGTCTTCAATAATGGCATGATCCCACTCAATTACGTTATTTGTGACCTTGCATCCCACTTGTGTCCATCGGTGTGGATTTTTCAACATTGTCAATTGTGTTTTATCAAAACTGACTCAATTAATTGATGAATTGAATTTTTTTTCCACCCCAGGAGTATTATTGATTTGAAGGACGTATCCTATTGTTATATGTTAGTTTATATTGTTATCAGTTGATAGCTTTTAAGTGATCCTGGTACGAATTTTCTCTTGTTATTTTAAAAGATCTGAATTGACAAATAGGTTGAGTCTTCACGTTAATGAAGTTTTCCGTGCCGTCTGGAACTTAAATCCTTGAAACCCTAAGAGTGTTTGGCTTCTAAATTCTCCTCACTGTATCACCCTTGAATCAATCATTCAGGATCGCGAGAATAAAGGATGCTCTTGATTGTTAAACGAATTCTCCTTGCCAGCGTCCCAGGAAATGTATAGAGAACAGTATGGAGACTATGAAGGATAATGTGAGCTGCAAAGGGTTAATCTGGTTTCCAATGTGTGAAGAAAC